TATAACTCATCAAGCAGCAGTGTAAGGCTCCATTCAGGTTTTTGGTGGTTTTCTCTGCAGCTTTTGTAGAGTTTGGCTACAATAGGTAATGAAGATGTTTAAGCCATAAATTATAACATTTTAGTCTCTGACAGAGTGCTGAGTCCATCTGCCCTAATGCTGAACCTACTTGCCTTGGTCAGGCAGCTCTTGAAGTCCAGTAAGATGATTAGGAGTAAAAAACCTAACCAACCAACAAAAAGCCCCCCAAACTTCCCCAATTTGAATATTCAAAAGAATGTGGGAACTTGATGGTGTCTTACTGGAGAGCAGCACAAGTGGAAAGGCCTAAAAATTGTAACATTAGGACAGTGCCTTATTGATAAGAAGAATCTTAACTGTGTATCTTCCTGGAAGAGTTGGCCACTCATGGCACACATTCATGGACTGTCATGTAGAACACCTTGGTTTGGAGGAGGAAATAGATTCGCTTCAGCGTTTGACTTCTAAGGCTGAGCTTTTGCACCAGAAGCTTTTCATCTGGGGTGTGTAGCAGTGTCTCATTCACTTGTTATACTTTGTACCAAAGTCTCTGTAGCCTGTTTTAGTCATCTGAATTGCGTGGTTATTGGGGATTTCTTCAGAATAATGAGGATATAACAGATATTAACCATGGGATAACTAAGAAAAATTACAGGATTACAGGGAGGAATCTGGAGTTGAGTTGTCCTAGGTTTGAGAGTTGGACACTTGACCTCCTGGAGACTGAGAGGTTTCAAAGACCGTTCAGCTACTGATTCCTTTTCCCTTCTGTGTTTTGGTCTCTTATATCAGATCAGCTGGGTATAAAAATGAGCGAACAGCATCACCTCTGTCTTTTAGCCAATGCCTGTTTAGGGTTAGACTTTTTTTCAGCAGCACTTTTTCCAATTAATATTTTCACTCAATGTATTTTCTGTTGTGTTACTGGAAAAATAAGCACAAAAGACCAAACTTTAGTCTAAAGGTACCACTTTTGAAGAATATAATTACACAGCTTTCTTAACAGTCTCTCAGCTGTAAAGTTGTTAAAACAGGATGCAAACACCATGCACTATTCTCCTGAAGGTAGAAGACACATTACTTCGTTGTAGTTGGCTGAATTAATTTCTTCTCATGCTAAAGCACACAAGAGTCTGGATAGGATAACACTGAGAAGGATATATAATATTCTCTAACCTACAGTAGAAATATATGAAATATGTGGAAGAGATGTTTTTACATATTTCTTGAACAGAAAAGGGTATAACAAGCAATACATTATTCTGTTAACATTAATGACAGTGCTTTTTTACTTAAAGTAAATTCAGAAATAGTAAGTGGATGGCTAATTCTCTCTTCACCTTCCTTCTTGTTTTCTGTTGTTGTGGCTTTTGATAGAATTCTAGCTTACAAATGAGGAGTCAGTAGACCTTTGGTACTATGCCTGCTCCCTTGAAGGTTGTTTTTTTTTTAACACATAGTTTCCACTTCTGAATTAAATACTCTTAAAATTTTTGTGGAATAAAAATAAACACATTGTTTATGAGGCTGGTTTTTTTCATCTTCTTTCCAAGCTTAAGCTAATTGTGAATTTCTTTATTGCTGCTCACTTTGCTCTCCAGTATTTCTTAATATAACAGGTAAGCCACCAATCCTATACTAATTATTATCTTTAAATGGAGGAAAGAAAACTGTTGGTATAAATATACAATAATAATATGTAACAGCTGTTAGAATTCTACATGTAGAAACCTAATGTGTCTATGAAGCAGTATTAAATTTCTTCAAAGGCCTTCTGCTCTGGGTATCATGAAACAATGAAAAATAAATTCTAGGAGGACAAAGTTATCATGTGATATATGATTTTCTGGTGTCTTTTTTGAGATTCCTTTTTAGTTTTGTATGACACACACTGTACATATCTGTCTTAAGAATGAATTAAATTTTTTAGCTGGAAATCAATCTGTCCACTTCTGCGAAAGAGAATAAAAATTATTAAAGGTTTGTACAACACCTTTTATTGTCTATACATTAAAACTGAAATATTTAAAATAGTCACTTATGAATGGAAAAGTCAGTCTTACTTGTCATAAAATGCTCTTTTCTTCCTGTCTAAGGGAAGATGCTTTAGTACTTAAGGTAATACAAAATAAAAGCTAATATGCTTCTAATTATGTGTATTAATAGCTCTGCTTTTTACGTCTTTTCACAATTGTGTATTATTGGTATTATTGGGCTGTGAACAACAGCAGAACTTCAGAGGTGAAAATCACACTTCTGAAGTTCTGTTAATAAAGACTGTTAGAAAACATGATGAGACGTGCTTTAAAAAGAAGCTTGAAGAGCAGAAAATTTGTATGGGCTTTGCAGTATGGTGTATCTTCCAGTTCAAGCTTTTTTGTTCAGTGTTTGATGCAGAAACAAGCCCATCCTTTTAAAGCTAAAAGACTAAAGGGTTTTCTGGATGTTTTATATTAAAACAATACATAAGGGAAGGTTTGAATGGAAATGTAATCTCTGTTAGCAGTGTTTATGTAGCAGTAGAGGAAAAAAACAGCTTTTGAGTACACAGCTCTAGGAATAGAAAGCAGTAAATTTTGAGGTAAATATACTTCAAGAACAAGTCATCTGAATTTAATTTTGCAAATCGATTAGACAACTTTGAGAAGCAGTAACAAGCCTAAAATGCTAAAATTACTTTAATTTTGATACTGCAAACTGACCTGTGTATCCAAAATACCCAGAAATTTCTATACCATCTGGTTTGCCAAGAAACTCATAGGTGCTTTTTTTGTTGATGGAATTCCATTGATCTTAAATGGGACTTTCCATTGTTTTGGACATCTGTGTGCAGCTACTTTTGCAGGAGACCTTTGTGAATAGCAGAGGGAGTGTAGAGGGAGGGTTCATTTGCTTATTTGGGTCCTTTGTTTTTGTATCAGTGACAAACTGAAAGTGATTTTGTGCTCTGCAACTTTTTCTAGATAGTTTTGAATGTCAGAACTGAGGAATATGTATGTTTAACAAACTAATGATGTAGTGCAGTGTGAATATATGAAAGCAGTGCAGCTGCTGTTTCCTAATCTTTCATCTTGCTAAAATTATATTCAGTCATTTACTCTTGCACCTTAGCTTGATAAGGCACTCATCTCTCCAGACACCTGTACTAGATGAGTGGAGATGAGCACAAAGTAAAATATATTGCATATAGTTGCAGTAGGGAATAGTAAAAATGTTGCAGCTAGGTTTTGGAGGTTTAATTCATAATTCAAAGAAACGTATTGCTAGAGCTCTTGCAACTGCTTAAATAAATACACGTTTTCCAGGCAGTGTCTAGCCAAGTTTGCTGGAGAAGACTTTGATATAAATAGAGGTTCTAAATATTTGACACAGACTTGTCAGCAAGACATTCAGTGACTTCCAGCTAGTGAAGGAAGACATTTAAAGCACACAGTTGCTGTTTTCTGTCTTTGTACTGAAAAACTGAGTGCTAGGTGCTCTACAAGAATTGCAGCAAGCTCAGTCCTCAAGAAGGAAGAAAATGAGCACAATATTGCACTGAAAATAAGTAAGCTGTTTAACACAATTAAAATCTGGTTGTCACAATCCCAAAAATAACTGGATAATAGTATTACCTGCTAATTTAATTGTTCTGCTACCACAATGACTGAGCACATAGGTCCTTCCCATTGGAATGGGAAAGCCTTCAGGCCACAGAGCAGCCTTCAACCTTTATTGTACCTCTTCCTATGAATGCCACAGAACTTGTTTCCACCCCGAAATTAAACTTGAAAAAACCCAAAAAACCCCAAAAAGTTGATTTATGGATTTGTCCTGATATCAGAAGTGTCCTCTTTGCCATTCTTTCCAAGAAGGCCACTAATGGCCATTGTACATCCTGTGCTCCTCTGTAAAGGACCCTGAGTGTAGGTGCATAATAGCAGAGCTGCCTCCCTCTTCTCCAGTACATTGACTTCAGAGCTCTGATAATTGCTTGCAGAATTCCCTGTGGGATAGGTCCTATTTACTCTATCCTGCAGGTTTTTTATAGTTACAAATATAGGTGTAAGTTTTCAGTTGGCCTTTAAAGGTTGTGGCTATAAGGAAAGTTTAGTAAGTGACAAGAGCAATTCTTTCAGGAAAATGACAAGCTGCTCTTAAGGATTCTGGATTTCACTCAGAAAAACCCTCTATCAAGCTTTGGTGGATTTTATAGTCCTTGAATTTTTTTTTTTTTTTTAAGGCTGATGGTGGAATCCTATCCATTCAGAAATAGAGAATAGATACTTCTTATCCTTCCCTCTTGCTAGGCATTCATGCATTTCACATGCTTCTTGGCCAACCTGCAGATGTGGAGTGTATATCCAGAGTTTTCTATCAAGGCTATTAAGGAAATCAAATCAAAACTTTGGCTAGTTTGGGAAACAAAAGTTGTAGCTATTGTATGGATTTGCTAATGGAGAACCTTGGCAGTTTTGTGTTATAATTAAAGTGGATAGATGTGATGAGGATGAGGATCAATAAATGCACAACTTGTTTGCTCATTCCCACTTTTGTTTCTGTGAAATTTCCAGAAGTGGTGTCTGGAGAAACTTCTTTTCTTTTGGAATACATGTTTCTGGCAGGGCTAAAGATGTATTCCAAAACCAAATTGTTTTGGATATAGCTGAGAAGATTTCATTGATACAAGTCTCCCTTACTGGGGATGCTCAAAAACCATCTTGAAGCAATCCTGTGCAGTGTGCTCTTGGGATGACCCTGCTTGAGCAAGGAGGTTGGGGCAGATGACCTGCTTTTGGCTCCTTCCAATTCTACCCAATCTTTGATTCTAAGATTTATTTTAAGCATAAAGTTGAATACCTGTGGAAAAAATTGTGTAAATAAGTGGTTAAAATTGACAAGGTAAATCATAAACTCCAGTGGGAAATGCTTTGTGCCATTGAATTTGATTTTATCAGGCCAATTAAACTATATGTTATTTTTCTTTTCTCTCATTGCAGCTTGTGCTTTCCGTTACAATGGGCTCTCCTTTGTCTACCTCATCTACCTCCTGCTCATTCCTTTGTTTTCAGAACCCACGAAAGCAACGATGCAAGGTAAGAAGTTCATTGCTTCATTCTTCAGAGTCTGTGGTGCACAGAGTAAATGCAAAAGCTTTGGTGTAGTAAAAGGTGAAGTCCTGAGCACTACCCCCCTCCTGAAGTGATCTGACTTGTAATACATACTGTAAATTCCCTGATATAGTTTCACAATATTCTGGCTTTGGTGCCAAGGACTTCCAACCATGCTTGCCCCAAATTGCATCAGGGCTGGGCAGTACTGGACATTCCTTTCTATGGCATTATTACCTCCTGAATACTGGTGTGCTCTGGGTGAAAATTGGGTTTTCAGAACCCTCCCAAAGCTATCCTATCATAGATTGTGCTCCAGGTCTGAATTGGTAGTTAATTATGAGAATAAAATTTGATGTCAGATTTTTCATTCAATTGTATTTTAGGTACTTATTTAAACAACTGTCATCCTGGCATTATACCACTGCCTTGGCAAAAATAACTTGAAGGGCTTGCTGTTAGAGATGACAAATAACTGCATCAGGCATTCAAGCATTTATGTGTCATAAACAGAGGTGTGCCATTCTGCCTTGTCTACAGCAAGAATGTAATACTTCTGAAAGGGGTATTTACATTCCTCTGTAATGGGGGGAGGAAAGGGGTCCTTTATAGGCCTGCACAATTTTTTATACATTTTAAATTATAAAGCTTTAATTGGTATAGAATCATAGAATGCTTAGGGTTGGAAGGGCCCTTAAAGATCATCTGGTTCCATGGACAGGGATGCCACTCACTAGATTAGGTTGCTCAGGGCCCCATCCAACCTGGCCTTGAACACTTCCAGGGATGGGATATCCACAAGTTCTCTACACACCGTTTCAGTGTTTCACCACCTTCTGAGTAAATAATTTCTTCCTAATATCTCATCAAAACTTGCCCTCTTTCAGTTTAAAACCATTGCCTGTTGTCGTGTTGCTATCTACCTGCATAAAAAGTCCCTATCTCTGCTTTTTATAAGCCTCCTTAAAGTAGTGGAAGGCTGCAATGAGTTCTCCTTGGAGCCCTCTCTTCTCCAGGCTGAACAATCCCAGCTCTTCCAGCCTGTCTTTGTCAGACAGGTGTTCCCGTCTTTTGATGGGGATCCATACCCAGTGGGTGGGCTCAGTTTATGTTGTCTGTGTCAGCAGCCAGTGGAACCAGGAAAAACAGGCCTGAAAAATAAATTAAGTAAGCATAAGAAGTAGGAAATACCACTCTTGGTGAGGCTGTCACTCATTTCTACAGGGGAATATTTTGGGGACAGTGTAAGCATGGAACATAAGTAAATGTCCAGCTGTGAGTTAGAGTTTCTCTTAAAGGTGCTGAAGGTGTGAGTTGAGAGGGAAATGTTCATGGGAATTTGGTTGCAGTTGCTGAGATGATGTGCAACTACCCTATTGGTTTTGTGTGTTTTACTTTTTGTGCCAGGAGAAGTGATTGACAGGATAAACAAACAGAGTCATTTTCCAGATTCCAAGAGTGACAGTGGAGAGACATAAAAATTCTCTTTTTTTTTTTGAGTATAAAAAGTCTATTTGATGAGGACTGATTCCTGTGTGACTTAATAGAGTCATCTAGTTTGCATCACTGATAGTAGCAATCTCTTCTCAGAGGAAAATGCTTTTTTAGGACTTTGGATAGTTTCTGCATATTGTGTATCACATTGCATTGCACTTCACCTGAATGTCATGCTATGATGTGTTTGTCTGAATTGATTTTTTTAATATAAATTTAGTATTTCTGAGTGTACCCATTTTTCCCACTGTCCATGTCACATTTCTAAATTGTGTGTGTGTAGGTGTATTTTTCCAGAAGTCTTTAGGGTTGTTGTTTTGGGGCTTTTTTGTGCCCAGAAGATGGAAAAGAAAGAGGAAATATTTAAATATTTTAACTAAAACCAGCCAAACCGCCAAAAATAAATAAGTTAAACTTCACTAAAAAAAAGAAACTAAATATAGTTTGTATTTTACTTGTATTTTTCGCCTAATACTTCTGTCACTCAGATATTTTTTCCTGAAATTGTTTCTTTTGATTAAGTTTTTTTGTTCTTTTGAACTTTCTAACTTTCTGCTAATCTCTTTTCTTTCCTTCTCTCCTGACACACTCAGCTCTTCAGTCAAAATCTCTGACCAACATTTCTATCTCTTGCACTTTCATCTGTTTTCCTATGCACTTTACAGTTACTGAACTTATGAAGCTTCTCTCCATGAAACTTAAGGGTTTTACAGGATATAGAATAAGAACTTAATCTGAAATGGATGATTTCAGTCTAGATGAATTTAAATTTTGACAGAAACTTAAAAGGTTAGAAACACTGGAGAAAAACTATTATACTCGCTCAAACAGTTCATATAGTGTTTAAAAATTAATGAGTAATTTTTTACTTGTCCTCTTAAACATTTAATCTTCTTAAAAAGGTTAATTGCTAAGATAAAGTAATATTAATCCTTAAACATGAAGGTATAAGTCACTGCAGTGTCTCTGCCTATGTTCCATGTATTAGTTTCAATTCTAACTGAAGGATTTGTCTCCTATGCCTCAAAAGAGTTTGGTATTTTACCAAAACTTAAAACTAACCTTTGGAACATAGGCAGAGACAACTGTGTGAAAAAAAATTCATTGCAAATAACCTCTTGTCTACAGGAGTAACTTAAAACTTGACCAATTTTTAAAGGATTGCTAATGGAAACAGTTTTCGAGGCATTTACTTCTTTGCCTATGTAATGAAGCTCTGTGATTTCAGCAGTAATTTTTCTATATTAATTATCTCTAAAATCAGGGACTGATTTGTTACTATTTCTCTGAGATGACAAATACACAGTAAATTGTGCAACAGCCTAGTTTCTAACCTCTTTGATTGTGAGCTTTATTTTAGTTTGTTAGTGATATTTTTTCCTCTGTGTCTAGTGTCTATTGCAATTATGTCTTCATCCTTAATAAAGGCTGGTACATGATGTTTTTATAGAAATAATAAAACATGACAACATAGATTGGTCCTGTCTTGGGCCAGTGGCTCATTTAAGTGTACTAAATACCTGTTTTATGTGTCTTTTTTTTTCCCAGTAAGAGATGTAAGTTTATATTTAAATAGATTTCATTTAATTTTATTCAATTTCATATTTTTTGATTAATAAGACTGTAGCCAGTCATGATGTAAATTAAAGAAAAAAAAAAGAGGGAGGAAATCAGTTAATTTCACACATGGGACTGGGCTTTGCTCAGTCTACTTATGTTAATGGAAAAAAGAATGGGTTTGCTTCTGAATTAATACACTGCTCAGGATGACAAAACTTGTATCTGTTGGAAAAATGAACTTTGTACAGCACTCAGATCAGTAAAAATGATGTTTTAAAAATGCATATGTTGATAAAATGATGAAATATAATTTAAAAAATGTTAATTGAGCATTATTCTAAACTGAAACCATGGCAAAGAAATGGAACAGTGGAATTTGTTTTGCAGATATTAAAGGGTTTGTGATTTGCAATAATCTGCACAGAATTGTAGAATCTTGATTCAGAAGGGTTGCAGTAACAAATCTGGATTACCAGATACAGCTGAAGGGTTTTCAGGAGAGAACTAATCCAAGTGACTATGGGAAAAAAATTATATAAATTATATATAAATTATATAAAATTATAAAAAATTATAAAAACTTTATTTTGACTTTCATATGAGAATTATGACCCTATGTGCACTCATCAATTCTACAATGCATCTGTTTTACTAGCAGTCTTCTTACACTCATCTGCACTTGGTTTTTTTTGAGTTTTGCACTAACTTTAAGCATCTGACTTGAGACATCTGATTTAGATGTTCAAGGCAGGAATTGGGAAATCTATATATTTATTGAACAGAAGATGGGTCCTGTTGTATTGCACTGTTATGTTTATATATTGCACTGAGAAGATGGTTTGCCCTGTATCTCCCTGGTCCTAATGATAGTCCTCAGAATTGACCATTTAAGCCTCCATTGAGTCCAAATACCTTAAATTAGAAGCATAATTTTAGACCTCATCCATGCCCCCAGGTATTATGAATTCTGAACAAAGTAAGGAGCTGAAGTGAATATTTTTATGTGATACTCATGAAAGAGGAAAAAAAAAACGGTTAACCCCTTAATTGTAAACTCTTGCACTGAAAAAAATCATTTAAATGGGCTTTAGTAAAAGAAAAGAGTATTACTAAATCACCTGCTCTGACAGAGCTTCATCTTCAGCTTTTCAAAATTTCCTGAATGTTGCGACAGAATGAACTGCTGCCCAAGGTGTGTATGCAGAAAACATCAAGAAATAACCTGAAAAACTCAAACCAAAGAAATCAAATCACCAGTTTTGAGAGTTTAACAGAATTCCTGTCTCTCATCAGCCCTATTAAAACAGTGTCCTATTGGTGGCAAATGTTATGCTTAAAGCTCTATCAGCAAAGAATGAAACATTTGAAAAATATAACATTCTAAACTATACACTAACACATACATTGGAGTAGTCTGTCATGTCTATTATAGAATGATGATGTTTGCAATCTTACATGTCTTTCTCTGTCTCAAAGCTGTGGAAAAGATTCTTAAACTTTTTTGATCTTTTCTATTTAAACCAGCTCTAATAATTTTCATAACACAACAATGTTATTAACAGGATTTGATGGAAAACACAAATAATGTAGCTAATCTGGAGCTTTAAAACATTGTGTTTCTTAAATTATATGCCTACAAAATGAGATGCTAGGTTGGAAGTATAGATTTTCATTTTGAGAAGACATGTTTGTATGGTTTTTATTGCTTGCTTTGAACAGAAATTCAATTGAATGTGCATCTTAAGCTTACTAGTCTGTTATTGCATCTTTCTAAGGAGGTGTTTTTAGCTCAAGTAGTTGGAGTTCATGACTCTTTTTCTCACAACACTTATATTACCCACTATTAGTATATTATTGTTGGGGCTAATCATAGAGTACTTCAGGTTAAGGATAACTGCCCACCTGTCTGCACCATCTGAAAGTGCAGCAAA